AAAAAAATATTTAAATTAAATTATAATGCTGATAAATATTTTAATTTAAATTTTAAATTAAGAATTAAATAAAATAAATAAGTTGGAAATGAAGTTAAAATTTGGACAATATAAAATGCTAAAACACGTTCAAGAAGAGAGGAAAATAAAAATAGAAAATGCTTGTCAACGTTTACAGCGTCAGCTAGTTAAAATTTGCCACGTGGTAACACAGCAGATGATGCCCAATGGAAATGTCTCGGCATCGCGAACAGCAACGACCCGCCACGTATAAGGAATGAAGGGCAGTATCGTCATTTCAAAGGAACCAAATAGGCCCAAAATGGTCATTTCATCACAATCCGGGGACAGTTTGCAAGTCCCTGCACTCAAATTCCTTCCGCTCAGCCTCTGGTGCAAAGTCTTCTGTTTCTCTCAGTCCGCTCTATTCCTACAAAACCCTCCCAACACAATCTCCCTTCCTTTCTCCGGGCGGGTTTTTTATTAAAATCCTAAATTTCAGAGCTGTAATAGACCTCCAATGGCAGCTCAAGAGAGCCAGCAATCGTCAGGAACGACGTTGAGACACGCTTTCGGCAATGTTCTGTCCGTTTTCATTCTCCTCCTTGTTGGAGTTCTCGCTTTCTCGATTCGTCTATTCTCTGTAAGATCCCTGATTACCATTGCTAGTCTGATTCTGTAGATCCGATCTGTTGACTTATCGTTAGGATTTCGCCGTTTCTTGTTTGGCTGTTAAGGACTGAAAATTTGATTTCCTAATTATCTGGATGATCGATGCATCTGTGTGTTATATGATTTCTGCATGGATGATGAGGTAGCGGACGATAAGAAAATGGAAAATATGCTTTGGAAACCTTTTTTTTTTTTTCAGTAAATATATTTTAAGCTTGACTGAGCCAAATTGTCGAACTTAAAGCTGGATGAGACAAGTAATGCAGTTTAAGAACCTCGACTGAGCTTGTTAAATTTTTTTCTCTCTTTCCTCTCCCTCACTTATTAAAATATTTGAAGCGGATAGTTTTTCTTTTGTTATTTTGCTCCAATAATGAAAGCAATGCAGCTAATAATCCATCAGAAAAGAGACGAGAGAGAGAATAGCAGTTTTATGAATTTCTGTAAAACCTTTCTTTTTGAAAAAAGTTAATATATCAGTTCGAAATGCATTTATTTCTTATGCAGTTTATTACTTTGGGTTCTTGTGGATTAATTTTCAGGTTATAAAGTATGAAAGTGTTATTCACGAGTTTGATCCTTACTTCAACTATAGAGTCACTCAGGTTTGACTTCTTTCTATTCTATTTACTTGTACATTTTAAGTCTTTGTTGCTATGCTGAGAATAGAGATTCATATTTAATTGCATCATGATTCTAATTCATTTTATTCTGTTGAAGTATCTCTAAAATACAGATGATTTTCTGTTTTTGCTTGGTTTCAGTTTCTGACAAAGAATGGAATATATGGTTTTTGGAACTGGTTTGATGATCGGACCTGGTAATTGCTACACTGTCCTTTAGCTGGCTCTTAAATTCTCATTGCAGTTATTGTTTTCTGTTCTTTCTCTGCCTTACAAGTCTTAATCTTGCTTTTTTTCTTTGTTTAACACTGCATAAGGTATCCTCTTGGCCGTGTGATTGGTGGAACTGTTTACCCTGGTTTGACTTTGACAGCAGGCACCATATGGTGGTAAGTATTTGAGAGTTGTAGATTTGCAGTAGCCAATTTTTCATCTTTCGTTAATATTTTAGGTTTCTATCTTCTGGTATTTTCCATGAGCTTGCTTGTCTTGTGGCTTCCTTCACTTATGACATTTCATATGTTTGGTATCAGTGGAAACTCTGTTTTGGCTAATATATTGAGTAGATTACTTCTGATGCCAGGATACTGAATTCTTTGAATATTCCGCTGTCTGTGGAGACTGTGTGTGTATTCACAGCACCTATATTTTCTGCTTTTGCTTCTTGGGCAACTTACCTTCTAACT